TTTTCAAATGCTGTGCACCTGCGTGCAAAACATAGTCGCCGAACTGGTAGTAACACCGGTTGAATCCCACCCCTGACACAGTCCAAAATTAGTCACCTTCTCTTCGCTACAGACCATAATTTTCCAAAAAAGGCAACCTAGGCTACACTTCAAAGCAGGACACAGCTTGAATCTTGATCCTTTATATTTTAATATGGGATGGCAAATAATACAAAAAATAGCTCATTTTATGCATTCAAAACTACATAAAGCGTATAAAGCAATTTTAAGAGATGAAAGAACTAAAAAAAATATCCATTATTAAATGTAATGAAAAGCTGTAGCAAAAAAATCTTTCTAGTGACAGAGAATTGCAATAGCTAATACTTTATAGAAATAACTTGTAAAGAAAGGCTACAAGAGTCTGTGGTTTCAGTTTCAATGTGAAAAATCAATTTATAACCTGAGAAGTAGAACAAGAAAAAGACTAAGAGACCACAACTATTAATGGAATGTTCTTGACTTAATCTGTGCTTGCTTTGTCAGATTACCAGTAAAATATAAATATTCCCCAGAATCTGAAAATCTACATGTATTTCTAAAATCATCTTGTTACAATTAGCTTAATGATCCCCAAAAGTGTGAAAATATAATTGCTAAATCTGGAAGTGCTAGAGAGCTTGAAATAATATGTTTCTTCAAATCTCTTTAAATGTGCTGTTGAAAAAAAAATCACTAAAATTATGCCATTGCTTTATTAAGCAATTTAATTATTTTTCAAAAATACGACAAAAGTCAGTTGGGATTCTTCCATCCAATATTGCAGCATCAGCTGTGGGTCTGCCTATGCAGAAAGAGGGGAAAATATTAATGAAATTCTATTTATACTGAACTATCTAACAGGCTATAAAGAAAATTATCTCTGTCTTCAACCCATTGGTAATTCTCCTTATCTTTCCTGATGTACCCTATTGAATATAAACTTGTCATCATGAATAGAATGAAAATGTCAAAAGCAAAACGGAACCCTTTCCTTTGATAGGCTAACAATACAACCAAGTTCAGATACAAATCTTTTCAAAATATCAGGAGGTTGGTTACAGATGACAAGTCACACAGATTCCTATCACTTACAGGCAATATGTTGGCCCACAGTACATAAGCTTGTTTTATACAGCAATTTCTCAGGTCTAACAAAAATAGCATGCGTGAATCTATTCTGCACCCAACTTTTCTGAAAAAAATACTTCTCATATCTAGCATTAAAAATATTTCTAATATCTTTTTACCAAAATCACACTCCACTTGGGACTATCCAAATTTCACCGCATGAAAATTTTCTTGTGGCCTAGAGTTTTTTTTCTGGAAGTTTTTTCTGGAGTTTTTTTTTCATCTAAAAATATTTCATGAAAAGTCAAAATTAAAAATAAACTTCAGTGTAAATGCCATTATATTTGTAGGGAAGGGAATAAAGGTAATCTAATTTACTATACGTCTGTCTGAAGTCAGAAATTAAAATTAAGCTACCAACTTGTTACTGTTGGCATATATAATGGCTTCTCTCCATGTTCAAAATTAAAAATTTGGATACCCTCATGATTTTACTACCTCCAACATGAACTATTCTAAAAGAGATTGAAAAAATCAGTGATCCTCTTAAAGTAAATATCTAAGATCTGTTGGTCATGAGAAGACTATGCATTGTTCAATAATGTGAAAACCCAAACACTGCAGGGGAGAGTCACATTTGCACTTCTGGACACAACCGATCAACATGTATCATATTGCATAGATTATTAAAAAAACAACTTTTAACTCCAAATGAAATTGATTCATAGTTTTTACAGGTACTAATTTCACCTTTAATGTATTGCACTTCATAAAATATCATGCAATAAGCTTCACAAAAGAAAATGGAAGATGATGGATGCACTATGGATCGCTATGCAAGATACGTCCTCCAGTCTTTCTACGCAGTTATCTAAAGAGGTTTTTATTTTCATTGTCAGTGCATCGAAATTGCTCTAATATGATTGATTCCTATCCAACCAAGAAACTGTTGAATATTCCCCAACTACAGTAAATAGTTGGGGGATTTCTCAGTGATATACCATAAAAGGGCATGCCAACTATGGGGTGGAGAGAGACATTAAACTGGGGCTAATCTGGTCGCTTTCCAGATGACTTCAGGCAACCAGCATTAAACTAATCCCCATAGCTTTATCAGTTCTGCCTCTTTGCAATAGGGATAGAGTGGTTTTTACAAAGAAGGCAGTGGCATATCCCAGGGATGAATTATATAACCGACAACAGATTCTGGAACTATGTATAGGTGCCATATAATTGTAACTATTTTATTTTTAGCTCTTGTGATAGTGCTTATTAGTAGAAATGTTGCAGAAACATTTCCTACTTCCCTGCTCCAAATTGCCCTTCTCCAGCTGCTTATATTCTATCTGGATGGATGGATGGACGGGTGGACGGAGAGATGGATGGATGGATAGATGGTTTACACACACACACACACACACACATTCTATGTGCACACACACACACACACACACACACACACACACACACAGAGTGCAAGGAAGAACCCCACAGGAACTCAATGAGAATTAAAGCACATTCAACAGACTCAGAAAATCAGCTAACTTTTGGCAAAAAGGGTTGAAAGCAGATGGGTGGGGAGAATTAAACAGAGTATTTTGGGGAGAAAGACGGGCTGGCATTTTACTCCAGCATTTGGTTGTAAGGAGCATAAATATTTACTAATTCCAAATAGTGACTCCTTCCAGAACTCATCTCAGTTCCATGTTTTAGGATTCTAAGATCAGGACTTCCCTTCTCTCCTTCCTGCAAAGCTCTTATGATAATTTCTTAGATTCTTCCTTTTTTTTTTGCATTCTAGATAATGTCTCTCTTAGGAACTAGAACCTTTCCTATGGTTCTTTGGTATCTGGATGAGATTCCTAGCAACATCTTCTAAAAGTCATCATACTGGCTTTTTGCAGCATGGTCTTGAAGCCACAAAAATAACCAATAGCTGGACTAAAATGGCGGGAACGATCGGATATTGTTGAGCAAAATTACAAGAGTTGCAATGAACAAGTTTATAATCTATGGCAATTAAAAGAGCAAAGAGCAGTTTCTTATGCATGGGACTTTTCTCATACGATAAATGAACATCTCTAGAGAATACAGGTTAAAACCGATGGCATTACATAAAACATAGCAGTATGCAACCAAGCTGTATTTGGCCATTTCTTTCCCTAGGAGAAACAAACAAGTTCAGAATTCAAAGCAGCTTGGCACAAACCATATGGAATAGCCAAGAGATAACGGGAAACAAATTACTTTTCCATCTTTAGACTTTTTTTTTAATGATGGGGGGGGAGGGGGACATAATTCCAGTCAGGAGTAGAAGTCAATGCAAGACTCCACAGCTGGAAAGGATCAAGCTGAATTAGAGTCCTTCCAAGATCTCTGTTGGAATGGGATGTACCAATAAATGAAAGGATTAGCAGCCAAGATTGGAGAGAAAAGGGAAACAAGAAGGGGCCATTATGATAAAAGGCTGAAGTTGGGTAGAGAAAATTCTTAAGTTATCTTTGATAAGAAGTGTGGGAAACAACAAGCCTTGTGATCCAAGAAGTGAAAATAAACTTTGGAAAGAGGAAAAGAAGGGCTGTGTTCTATTGGAAGATGATTCATGGGAAGTAAACATCTAAGCCATGTTCTCTCAGTGTTCTCATAAGAACACTACAGCATGGTAAGACAATAAACAAACCTGTCTGAGTCAGATTATATGTGTCACAGCAGAATCAGAGAAGGGTATGTTGGACTAACCATTCACAGGCCATCGGGAGTCTTACAAACATCAAAGGAGGACCAAGGAAAAAGCTCTGTAGAGTGGACCAAAAGGCCTATCTGGACCGACATTCTGCTATTCATTATCTAGATTTCTCTAGAAAGCTTTTGTGCAGAATAGAAGCTTGGGAAGGAAAGCTATGAAACAGTCATACTTCTGTGCCACAAGTATTGAGTAAAAACTCGGTCTGAACTTACAGGCTTTCTTTTCATATATATTTTTTTTCTGTAGGGCTCATGTGGGAGATTTCTCAAGAGAATAATCCCACTTAGGATGGTAGGGGAGCAGTAGAAGAATCAAATATTTTGGAATAAATACCGAAAGCAGCATTTGCATTCCTCACCTTTGGGTGTCTTCTGGAGAGATGTAATGCTGCCAATTAAAAGATGTCAATTAAAGGTGACATTTATTCCCTCCTTTCTCCCCCCCCCCCCCCAAATAAGGAACTCGATGTGCAATTTTGGAAGGGAACAAAGAAAATGCAACAAAAAAGATGAGGTTTTTATAAGGAGAGGGGAGGGGGCAACCTTTGGAAAATTCCATAAAGAAAACCAGAGGCTGCATGAGAAGGGAATCCTCCGAAATAATTCTGGATGGAGACACTTCGAAAGGTCTGGGGATTCCTGACGTTTCCGACCACTTTTGGTGGGAGTCTGCAGGAAGAGCAAGTGCCCAAACATCTGGAACCAGAGGAAGATCCTTCAACTCAACCGGGAGGGTCAGCAGGGGTGGCGAAGGGAGCGGGCAAGGGGACACCTGCGCGAGGGACAACAACCTGTGGCCGCGCTTTGAAAGTCCGCATCGTGGGAAAGAGTGGGCGAAGAGGGTGGGGGCGGGGTGCTCCGAGATTTTCAACGAGCCCAGGTTCGATGATCCTGACGGCGCCAGCCAGAGCTCGCGTGTCCACCTTCCCAACGCCAAAGCAAGCACGCCGGGCGTCCTGCCTTTCCTCCTGGTCAACCTCCTCCTTCTGCCGGATGGGCTCGTACGCAGTCCGCCAACCCGGCTCGCCTGCCTGCCTACCTGCCTGCCTGCCTGCCAGCCTACCTACCTGGCTGCCCACCTGGCTTGCCCGCACTAGCGATCGCGGCGGCCCGGGAGAGGAGTGGTGGGGTGGGTGGGTGTTGGTAGGGAAATAAGGCGCATTTACCGTGGGGGCGGCGAGGCGGCTGATGCTCTCGCCCAGGGAGTCGAGGTTGACCCGCCTTCTGCGAGGAGCCCTCCGGGAACCCGCGGGGACCGGGCCGGGGAGACCCGCCGCAGCCGCCGCAGCCTCCGGCGGCGGGGGAACGGTAGCCACCGGAGTAGTAGCCCCGGACTGGGCAGCGGGGCTCCGGCTGCCGTTCCAGAGAAGCCTGGCCACGGGGCACTCGCCTTCCTCCTCCGGGCTGGTCTCCAGGTAGTCCGAACCGAGCGAGCTGAAGGATTCTGAGGAGATCTTTCGCCGGGACATGCTGGCGGAGGAGGAAGCATCAGCCGGAGTGGGGCTTCAGAGAGACGGCGGAGCGGCAAGGGAATCCCGCAGGGCGGCGGAGCCGGCTGGGCTGTTCATGGTCCAGGACGCATCGGAGCGCTTTCTTGTTTTATGTTTATTATTATTATTATTATTATTTTCTTCCCCTCGCCCGGAGGCTCCACGCGCGCTGCCTTCGCGCCGCCGCCCGGCTGAGAGCATTTAAAGGCGACGCCTCCGTCCGCTGCCCTCCTTCTCTGCCCGGCGCTGCCTCCCTTTTTCTTCCCTCCTCCGGCCCTGCTGCCGCCGCCGCCGCCAATGCTGCCGCCGCCTGCCTGCCTCCCCGGGTCGCTTGGCCCGCCTCCCCCGCGCCTCCGCGGGCGTCACGTGCTCGCCGCGGGAAGGTGCGCCTCGCCTTGTCGCCAAATTTAAAAGAGAAGCGTCGGGCCGCGGAGCTCCCTCCGGCTCCCGAGGCCTTGGCTTTGCGAAGACCGGGGCTGCGCAGGGAGAAGCCGAGGGGGTTGCTCTGCTCTCGGGGGAGAGAGGGGAGGCGGCTGGGGGCAGGCCAAGAGTCATCCGCAAGCTGGTTCACGCGTTGAAGTAGCGCCCAGGCGGGAAGGCAGATAATAGATAATCAGAGTTGGAAGGGACCTTGTAGATCATCTAGTCCAACCCCCCCTCCCACCCAAGCGGGAGACCCTACACCATTTCTGACAAATGGCAGTCCAATCTCTTCTTGAAGGTCTCAAGTGATGGCGCTCCCACAACTTCTGAGGGCAAGCTGTTCCATTGGTTGATTGTTCTCACTGTCAGAAAGTTTCTCCTTATTTCCAGATTAAATCTCTCCTTGTTCAGTTTCCATCCATTATTCCTTGTCTGGCCTTCAGGTGCTTTAGGTTTAGAAAATAGCTTGACCCCTTCCTCCCTGTGGAAGCCCCTCAAATATTGGAAGACTGCTATCATGTCTCCCCTGGTCCTTCTCTTTACTAGACTAGACAAGCCCAGTTCCTGCAACCGTTGTATGTTTTAGCTTCCAGTCCCCTAATCATCCTGGTTGCTCTTCTCTGTACTATTTCTAGAGTCTCAACATCTTTTTTATAAGGCTTCGACCCCAAGCAAGGCTTGCCCGTCTGAATGGGTCCGACATGGTCTAGGCAACATAACGGCGCTGCTACTGATCCTGCCTAGCACTTCAAGATCAGGAATTGGACTTTGCCATTTGCCCTACTGTATTTAAGGGTTTTTGTATCTCTACCTTCCTCCCCCCTACACACACACACATATAAAAGGGGAGCAGAAGAAGCTTCTTGGATGAGAAGCGAAACGTCTTCAAAGAAAAAATGGAAAGTCCAGTTGACTCTTGAAAAAAAAGTACCATGACCTTGGGTGACTGAGAATCTCCATAGACATTTACCAGATGTTTTTATTTATTGATTTAATAAATAGACTAAGGTAAAAGGTAAAAACCTTTTTTTTTTTACTTTGGCTTTCCTGATACTTGATGATAGAACCTATAGCTTGAGATCCCAAATATGCTTTTTCAAGAAGCAGCTGGACTTTCTCTGCTTTTCCTTGAAGACATTTCATTTCTCATCCAAGAAGCTTCTTCGGTTGTGGCTCAGAAGAAACTTCTTGGATGAGAAGTGCAAAGTCTTCAAGGAAAAACAAAGGAAGTCCAGTTGCCTCTTGAAAAAAAAGCATTTTTGGGACAATCGTGACCTGGAGGACTGAGACTCTCCATAGACATAAAAAAGGGGGAGGTTTTATATAAAGGTAAGTTGTCTTGTAGGTCATGTGTAAAAGGACCCTATGGTGGTCTGAACAGTCTGGCTTTACCTGAAAGTAGGTATGTCTCCCTGGAATGCCAGCCAGCTTTTTAAGAAGAAGTACAATATTTGTGCTGTGTTTTATATAACACTTCTTAGAGACTACATACCTAGAAATGGGGCTTTATATGAAAGAACCACCACTTGATGTCTCCAGAAAAGATCTGGAAGCTAGTCAAGTGGGGCTCATCAAGATATACTTCATAGAATGTACACCTTGCAAGTGCCAATCAACACAAATTGTGTCTGAGTTTGAACTTTCCACATGAAGATGCTAATCATAGAGTTGGAAGGTACCTTAGCAGCCAACCTGCCCTTGCCACTTGAAGATGTCTGACAGCTTCTATTTAAAAAAAAATAAGGAAATGTGTATTCATTATTGCATTGCAACCTGCAGTTCCTCCTAATCTGTAGCCTGAACCTCTTTCTTATAATTTTAATCCACTTGTTAATGGTCCTGCCCTCTAGTGCAATATAAACTTACATCTTCTGTATGTTCTTCATCCATATTGTCAAATAGCAAATTCATATTTACTCAACTATAGTTTACTCAGTCCTGCTTGAATTGCAGAACACATATAATCACAAAATAAACATATTGTCTCAATTTGCACAATATTGGGACCCATAGTAAATTAGCTCTTGACTAGGATGGGATCTTTCCCTATCGCCTACCATGCAATCTTTCCTCTTCTTGAGGGATACAGTCAGCATCTGAATGATGTTCCTTCAAATCATTTCACATTTGGCATGCTTGATGCTTGATAGAGTCCCTCATTAAATCACACAAGTAAGCTATCACACCATCAGAAAAAAAAAAACAATTTGGGCAATGGAGTTAGTTCACACATGATGCATGATGCTGCAGGAGTGAAAATATATACAATTATGCAAAGGATATATCCATGGAAAATGCACCAAAAAAAGTGATTTATCTTTCTATCATAGGCCTAAAATTTGAAGACAACCCTTGAAAGAGACATGAATGATTTAGAAAATATGGTGTCCTAAAATGGTCACATCTCAGATGGCTTTAAAAGGGACCAAAATAAAATTAATGGAAGTCAACTCTATCTATGGCTACTACTGGTAACAGGGTTGATACAAACATGCAACCTTCAGATCAAAGACAAAATGAATCTCAATCATAGCTGTTGGAAGCACCTGGTTGATCTTGATATCACACCATATATCTGATCCAGGAAGGATCTTCTTGTGTTCTTGTTCATCTCTAAATGCAGAGATATCCATAAGGTGTATGTCCCAAAAATCAAGATAGCAGCCCAAGTACCTGTGTATGATTTCTATTCCTCAGAGGTAACTTCTGCAATTATCTTTTCGAAGAATGCCAATGGAAACGGTTCTGGGATTTAGCCACGTAGCTCATATAACGTGATAATCAAATAATCAATTTCACAGGAGGTTGCATTGCTAATGGCTGCAGACATTTGCTTACTATTTATAGTGAAATAATGTCAGTTAATTAGCAGAGCAAGAATACTGCCACGACTAAGAAACAGAACATTGAGCCATAAATCTCCCAGTTCACTGCATGGCTTCTCCACAGGCCACTAGATAGTTTTAAGCAAGTTGCAACCTCTGCCTCGGTGCTCTTCCTTTCATCCCCTGATCACATCTGCAAAACACAAATAACTCAACTGACTTATTTTGCAGGCTTGTATGTAAGGATTTTTGCTGTAGAATGTTGCAAGCACTAAACCAATATACACTGCCCTAACCTTGCTGGTGTCAACCCTGAAGCTGACCTGACTGAAGTCATCTTGGAGCTTCAGTGTTGCCACACTGGAACTGAGGGATAGGGAGTGGGAATTGAGATAGTGGGGACTTCGTAACCAAAATAAAATACTTTCTCATGGGAACCAAGGACATTCTCACACTTGGTCAGAAGAAGGATGAGTGATGTCACCAGGCAACTAGTCAGAGCAGTAATTGGACCATGTGACTGATTGTTCTGAGAAAGTGAAAAACTTTTAATTAGGTGAAAATCGCGGGAGTCTTCAGAGTCGGTTTTCACCTGATCTCTGCCAATATGATATATCCAATAAAACTATTCTTTGAAGAATGGGTCTATTACTTGGAACCCTTCTGAAAAGCCATGAAAATCTTGAATATTTCCCCAGGAAGTGCAGGATGGTTATAGCACTCTATGTGAGTGTGAATGTGTTTGTTAGCTCGAATGGAGAGTTGGCTTATGGATCATTCTTGACCTGGATCTTTTTAATTGAAATAGGGTTTAGGTTTAACATGTTTGCCACCCAGAATGCCTTCAAGAAATGGGCATCTCTTGGCATATAAATATGCCAAATATATAAAATAAATTTAAGCACCACCACAAATGGAAACTGGTGGAGGAAACTATAGTATACATTCACCTCCAAGTTACATTTGTGTAGTGTTTGGAGCAGCCACATTTCTCCACTCTCTACTAACATTTTATTCCGGTTTCCTTTCTTTTCCTTACATACAATATCCCACAGTTGATATAAGGATGGAATCCTTCGATTGATTTACTTCTTAAGGTGGGAGATGTCTCTTGGATTTTGCTTATTTGTTGGGCAATTTGACTCCAATTCTTTTGGCACTTGGGCCCAGAGTTTAAGACATATGAGCAACAATTACAGTCGTCTTATCTGGGCATGCGCAAAGCAGAGGTGCCTTGGTTTGGCAAGATGCATTGCACCACCAAAACAATACATTCTGCCTTTATTTATGTATTTGTTTGTTTGTCAAATGTACAAGATAACAAGTGTAGGTATGAACGTAAGCATGAACAAAGGAGGTAAATACAGATAAATGGGGACAATAAGACAGAGATAATAGGCACACTGGTGCGCTTATAAACGCTCCCTTTAAAGACTTCTTAAGAATGGGGTGAGGTCCACGGTAGGCAGTTTGAGATTGAAGCTGTGAGGGTTTCAGACTGTAAAACAGAGTCTGGTAGGGCATTCCAGGCATTGACCATTCTGTTGCTGAAGTCGTATTTCCCACAAATGAGTTTGAAGTGGTTTGCCTTGAGTTTGCATTGATTGTTTGTCTGTGTATTATTGTGGTTGAAGCTGAAGAAGTCATTGATAAGCAAGGCATTGTAGCAGACAATTTTGTGTACTGTGCTTAGATCAGACCACAAGAGGCACAGTTCCAGATTGTCCAAGCCCAAAATTTCAAGCCTGGAGTCACAGGAAATTCTCTAGCCTCGAAGAAAGAGCAAGCCCGCTATGCTCTTCGATGAGAGCACAGGGTGGGATGACTGACCTTTTTCACTCCTCAGCTCTAAAAAAGTGGATCTGGATGGCCATTCTGTGACTTAAAAGCTTCTCTCCATCAAGGTGCTTCAAAGGGCTGCTTTGAACCAATCTTACCCAAACTAAAGTCCTCCTCTAAGCTCTGCATACCATAATAATAGCAGATAAAAGTTCCACAAAGGTTCAAAAGTGCTCTCTGAGAATAAATAAGCCAGGCTATC